CCCCCAAAGCCAGATCTTTTCCAGCTGTTCCCGACGGCTGCCTTTCCACTCGTCCTCTCCCCACGTCCGTGTCTCGCTCCCTCTTGGCAACAGAGTGAGCTGCATTAGAGGCGGCCTTTTTCGTAGAATCCTAGCATCAGGGGAAGGGGCCTGGAAGGCCATCCAGTCCAACCCCCTGCTCAAGGCAGGGATCCAAATCAAAGCAGCTCTGACTGAGGTTTGTCTAAATTTTCTCTTGCATTCCTCCGTCTTAGAGCACTCGCCCCGTTCCACCGAGATCATGGGCTCCCATTGTCATACTGCTCTAACAGTTAGGACGTTTTTTCCTGATCTTCAGCCGAAATCTGGCTTCCTGTCACCTGAGCCCATGGGGACGTGTCCTGCACTCTGGGTTGAAGGAGGACAGATCCTGCCCCTTCTCTGTAGCACAGTCTTTCATTCATCTCTTCAAAGAGTCCTGATCCCCTTTCCCCTCATTCTCCTTTTTGGGAGGCTAAACAGGTCCATTTCTTTCCGTTTTCCCTCCGAGCGCTTTTTCTTCCTTCCACCTTCTAGCTTTAGGGGAAAAGAAATACGAAAAAAAGAATTTACAAAACAGGTCCGAGGTCTTCCGCCGAGGCCACCAAGAGTAGCCAGTGTTCAGAAAATTCTCTTTTCTGGACTGCCGTTCTGAGCATCAGCCAAGACGGACGGTGGCCGCAGGAGCCGTCGTCCGATTTGGAGAGTCGTGCCGTTCCGTATCTCAGCTCTTTTGAACGGTCATGATTTCCCCCATTGGACGCCTGCTTAGGCAACCGTTTCCCTTGAAGTTCCGTATTCTGTGGGGTTTGCTGCTGAGTTGACTTCTGACCCGCGGCAGTCTCTGACCAGATCATCCCTAAGTGGAGCAGCCCGAGAGGGAGTTGCATTTTAAAAAGCTCGGTCCTTTTAAAACCATTGTTTGGAGTGACCACCTTTCTGTAGATGGCCCTTCCCAGATCCTGTCTCCCTGCCCTGCCTGGCCCGGTGGTGGATCGGGGCTTTCTTTCTTCCACCGACAGAGACGTGGACTGGTGGCCCCATCTCGTGGCTCCTTGTCTGAGCAAAACCTTAAAGCCTGTAAGGTTTTTTTTAAAAAAGGTCTCTGGGTCATTTCAGGGACAGGGCGGTGGGGCGGGAGGCCCTGTGAATGTTCTGAATGTTCGCTGGATGATGGCATGGTTCGAATTGGGTTGCTGGCCGATTAGATGCCTCAGCCTTACTCGGACATCTTCAAGCACTGCTTCTCCCCAGGGTGGCCTCGCCTCACATTCGGGCGTGGATTCCCCTCGGAGGGGTGGGTGCCAGATCCGACCCCTGCCTTCCCCGGTTGTTCAAGGCCTCCCACAACCAGGACAGGCTGGAAGGAAGCAGCGGCGAAGGGGTTGCCTGCCAGAGTAAATCACACGGCACAGGGCAGATCTAGGGGCTGGGGCTGTCGCTGGACCCAGACTTTGGAACTCTCTGCCACTGGAGGCCAGGCTGGCCCCATCTTTAACTCTCCTTCCACAAGCAGGCAAATAGACTTTTCTCTTCAGGCAAGCTTTCCTTAGGTACAATCGGGAATTGGTTTAGCCCCAAACATGCAGATTTTACGAAGTCCATGGGACTGCTGGGGCTTGAGGACCCCCCCTCCCGGAAGGTGACACTAAAGCCCATGTTGGGCAGAGCTGAGTAATTCTGGATTTCCCCCTTCTTTCTCTCTTGCAGCGATGCTGCAGGACGATTCCTTCCTTAACGTATAAGATAATGGAACTAAAGAATCGTTTCTTATTTTGGTTCCATGCTATCCTCCTTGATTCTATGCTGGAGTGGAGAACGGGGCCTTTATACCCCTTTCTGGCCACCCCAAGAGCCGCTGCACTCTAGCCGCCTAGAGTGGCCTTTTAGGCCAGATGGGCAGGGTATCAATCAATCAATCAGTCAAATAAACAAACAAACAAGCAAACAAACAAACAAATAAATAAATAAATAGTGACTAAAGTGTCAGACCAGGACATGCAGACACACACACACACACACACAGAGAGCGGTGGAGAAAGGCCAGAACTGATGATGAGGATTGGGAAAAACCTCCAGACTGGGACTGACAGACTGTCCATGTTTAGCCCAATGGCCCAGGCGCGACCCCTATTTAAGACCAACAATTGTGGCCAATCCCACCCCCCACACCCCCACGGCCAGCCGACAGTGGAGGCGCTTGGCTCTAGAGTTGGTGGAGCGCTGAGCCCACCCCAGGTTTAGTTCCAACGTCCAGTGGGGTGTCCAGGGAATGGAATCCAGGTGCCCCCCCCCGGATCGCTCAACTTCATAGCCCAACCTCGACATGGCTCCCTTTTCCCTGCAGGGACTTGCCTGGGCCCCACCATCCAGATCGG